CCCAGTTATATAAAAGCAGATTGTGATTTTATCAAATGGATGTGTGATTTGAAAAATAAGAAACGTATTAAGGTAGAAGCAGTGCAAGAGACTCTAGTTCAAAAAACTGCTTAAGGGATGTGCAGGTACAGAGTGTGCAGTTCTGCACTACCTGTGTGCCTTAAACTCATTCTTTTAGCAGTACTTAAAGATGCAGTTAAAAAAATTGGTCACCAACTGTCTGTTGGAAAAACTAGCATTCTGTTCTCAAGGCATGAGCTGGTTTTCCATTTCATGAAAATGGAGTTCCTGGTGGCAATGTGGCCCAGCATATCCTGTTCCCACAGAAACAGGAGTTGGGTTTCATTTCCAGGACCTATCTGAACAACTCTGAGCTGAGCAAAAACTTCTCCTCCAGATTCATGTGATATAAAGACTGGCAGGTCTGCAGGGACAACTACTTCTGTGGGAACTTTAGGTGAGGAGCCTTTTAAAAGACAGAGAGTACTGAGTCAATGCTGCTGTGATAAATGTGATAAAGGCTTTAGGTTTCACCTAAAGTATGGTTCCACACCATACTGCCATTCATCTAGCAAGGACAATTATGGTAGGTCATGTGCTAGCACATTTGTTAGTGTGTTGCTTTAATTTTTGAGTGGCAAGCAAAGATACCTTCCCACCCACCTAATGTTCAGCAGCGTTTCAGTATCAAAACTGAGCGCAGACCTGACTGAAACCTGTACTGCTGTTTACTGCTGAATTTCTGTGGTCAGCAAATACACAACAAGTGGCAACAATGCACTAAATCAGCAGCAGCCCCATGGTGAGGCACTGGAACAGGTTGCCTACAGAAGCTGGGGATGCCCCATCCCTGGAATTGTTCAAGGTCAGGTTGAATGGGGCTTGGTGCAACTTGGTCTGGTAGAAGGTGTTCCTGCCCACACCAGGTGGGTTGGAATGAGATGATCTTTAAGTTCCTTCCCAACTCAAACCATTCTATGAATCTGTGACTCTCATCTCTCCTCTGTCCCATGGTAACAAAAGCTACAGACTAATCCCTGTGTAAATAACTGCAGATTTCTGATCAGAGGTTTCGCTCTGAAGAAGGTGCCCTGACCACTGGAGCAGTGTGATCCTTGGCATATGTAACACTGCATCCTGAACTTGGCCTGTATTTCATGTTATTTGTGTTTTAGAGCTGTACCACATGCCACATGGCACTTGGCTTGTGGAAACTGCCATGAGATACTTAGACCCAACATTAAATTTGGCCCAGTGCTGCAAAGCTCCAGTTCGTCAATTCCTGATACTTAAGAGTTCCTGAATAGCACAATGTTTGGGCTTATAGTCCCTGACTCTTTTGCATATTTTTATACCTAAGGGCCAGCCTTCAGTTACCTAGTTCTCTCTTTGGTACTGCAGCTCCCATTAATTACATTAGAAGTCTGCAGCAAAAAGAATGTAATGAAAAGAAACTGGCACTCACAGTGCATGATTCTTCTGCATGATCTACCATGGATAAACTGTGTCTTAAGAGTGCCTGTTTGTCAGAGAATTTTCCAGCTTTGGAAATTAGATATCATTACCAACATCTGTTACATCTTGGGACACTAAGTAGACCTCCAGTCTTTCATAATTTGTTCCCTAATGCCAATTAAAACTAATGACTTGGCATTTTGAAAAACCTTTTGACTTTTTAATATCTTTTTGACACCTGGCCTTTAAGGAATCTTCTTTCAAACTCTGTCACTAAAAGCATCTTTTTCAGTGACATTCATATTAAAATGGAATTAAAAGCATGCTATGGCGTGGGGTTTTTTTTCTTCAAATCCTTATAGCTAGGAAGCACTGCTGATCTATAGAAGAATGTGTGCTGATTTTGAATGGGATAGAGTTAATTTACTTCACAGTAGCTGGTATGGGGCTGTGTTTTGGACTTGTGCTGGAAACAGCATTGATAACACAGGGATGTTTTTGTTATTGCTGAGTAGAGCTTACACAGAGCCCAGGCCTTTTCCTCTTCTCACCCCATCAGTGAGCGAGCTGAGGGTGCACCAGAATCTGGGAGGAGACACAGCCAGGACCGATGACCCCAAGTGATCAGAGGGATATTCCATAGCATATGACATCGTGCTCCATATATAAACTGGGGGGAAAAGAAGGAAGGGGGAGGATATTTGGAGTGATGGCATTTATGGTGGTGGTGGAGCAGTGGTGGAGTCACCATCCCTGAAGGTGTTTGAGAGAAGACAGGACACAGCACTTAGAATGGTTTAATTGACATGGTGGTATCTGGTCAAAAGGATGGACCTGATGATCTCAGAGGGCTTTTCCAGCCTCCCTGATTCTGGGATTCTGTTTGTCTTCCCAAGTCACCGTTATGCATGCTGGAGCCCTGCTCTCCTAGGGATGGCTGAACACCTGCCTGCCCATGGGAAATGGTGAACGAATTCCTAATGTTGCTTTTGCTTTAGCTATTAAACTGAGTTCTTTCACTTTTCCTCTTCTGATTCTCTCCCCCACCTTACCAGAGGGGGAGAGCACAAGCAGCTGTGTGGGGCTGGTTTTAAACCATGACAGGATGTAGATTAGAAAATACAAGAGATGAGTATCAGAAACAGTAAGACAATCGAGGAATATTTCCTGGAAACAGCAAGAGAAAACAGAAAAAAAGAAATGGGGAACAGTGAGACTACAAGCTGTGGTACCAGCCAGCGTGCACTGAGGTCTCTGGTTGGGTAGTTAGCTTAGCCTTTCTTGCAGCAGAAGGGCGAAGGGATTTTGGAGCAGTTTCTGCTTCACAAGAACTTGGCACCATGTTTTAAAGCAAACTTGCACAACACTGGCACCACAGAAAGGAAACATGTTACGCGCTATGGAGCCCATGGAGGGGGTTGTTACTTTTGGGAGTTTTATGCAGCGTGGATGAGGGAGCGAGGAACAGCAGTGGACAGCTCTAAAGGTTTACATAGACTGGAAGAATTTTGGTCACAGCTAGACCTCCACAGAAAACCTAATGGCACTGAACTTTCTAGTAGAGTCTTTTGCTGAAGAGCCTATTTTGTCCCTTATTCTAAAATAGGCAAAGAGATCTTGCATAACCTGCAAAAGGAAATATGAGGCCCTTCTCCATCTGCGCCTTAAAAGGAGGAAGGTGATAATTCTCTCAGGCATGGCCCAAGCCAAACAGTGTATTAGACATGTCCTGGGAATATGCACCCAGATGAGCCTTGTAGAAACGTTTAAACATTTTGTTTTCAGTTCTGGAATGAGTGTGAGCTGGGATGTGCTTCTCAAGCCTGGGGGAATTCTTCACTGAAGCCATGGGCACAGTTACAGGTCCTTGGTTAACATCAAATAAAAAAGTGTGGCATCTCTTGACTTACTTAACAACTGAAGTGCAGTTTTCAGAGTAACAATTTGAGATTGTAGTGTTTATATTCTGCCTAGATCTTATTTCTGACACCCAAATGTGTTACAATTTTGAAGTGACAGAACTCAGATAATACAAAACTAAAAATTTTGAGGTGACATGAAACAACCCTCATCCAACATTTTTGGATCATCAAATTCTTCATTATACAATGCAGGGTACAGTATATGGTTTTATTTGTTTAGATACTTATTTTATGTAAAGTGAGCTTATATGTCTAGAATTTTCCCAATTTTTATTTTTAAAAACTGCATTTTGTCTTTTTTCCCCCCCATATTGACTTTTATCAGAAACAACAGAAATTGCTTTCTTTTCAAGACCTCCTCAAACACAGTAAGTCACACTTTAACATTATGGTTCCAATACAAAATAATGAAATTCCAAGAATTTTTGTAAGAAAACTGTACAAAATGATAGCTAGCAGGAAATTAATTCTTATTTTACTTCAATTTACTGCACTTTCAAAGTTGTAGATGTCTATACCGAGTCATACCTGTCAGGGAGAGCATATGACCTTCCATCCCCCTACCTGCTACATAGCAATGATAAGAAACACATCCTCACCTTCCTCTCAGTTCTACCAGCATAGCATGCATTTTGTTTCCAGAGTTCTTTTTCCTTCTGATGTCTAGAGTGCTGCTGAACATAAGGTAAAAAAATGAGCATGCAGCCATATAAGTGAATTTACAACAGAAAGATAAAATGTTCCCCAGGGGCTACCAGGAAATCATGCTGCATGTCAGAGGAGGAAGGAGGGGGAGTGGTGGGATCATGCTCATAAGCAGTAATGAATACAACAGATACAAACCTCCTCAATCTAAAGTGGTCAATGCAAGCGGTTCTGCTTATGCAAACATTAAAAAACTAAATGAACACAGACAACAAATTTTTAAGTCACATTTTTGGTGGGCAGGAAGTAAATGCCTTGTTGTTTGCATTCTGAAATTCTTCTGAAATTCAGTTCTGTAAAACATTGTCTGCACTGGCCCAACTGCTGTACAGGGCATTTCCTCAGTTTTCTATGGTAAACTCAATTCATAGTGGTGCTCCCTGAAATACTCCAGTACATTCCTGACAGTTTCACCAGGAAGTCTTTACTGGAGTTACTGGCTGTAGCCAGTATTTTACCTCTCTTAGATGCACCACCACACTTCAGCAACACCACATTACCCAAGGCTGCAAGAAATACAAATTCCCTGTCTAAAACTGCTGCCTTCTCAGAGTCCATTTTATCTTCAAGTGAAAAATAAAGAATTTAAACAGAGATCACACGAATTAATTTATCAGTCATCTCTCTTCCCTGTGCCAGGACAAACAGTATTTACTTTCAACTAGAGTACCTTATTATCTGTAAATATTAACTCTGCCAAGTTCTAAGAAATATATATGGGATGTTTTCTACAGAGGCTGAAAGTGTACCATTATCTTCATTCTAATTCTCATTTCTTGGGTTATTTCACACAAAAATTGTTCAGTTGTTTTTAGGTAACTTGTTATTTCACCAGATGTCATATTTTCTTGCTTCATGGACAAGTAGTTTCTATAAATGTGCATGGGAGTAGAAGGAAAATAAGAAAAAAATACTGTATTGGAAATAATCTAAACCTATTTAATAAGCATTTTAATGTTAGCACATAACAAATATTGATTACCAAATTTTAATCTATAGTTTTACAGTTTAGTCTTAAAATAGTACAAAAAAATTTAACAACATTTCTAAGCATCGAAGCTGGATACCAAAAATTCATTTAATTAAATGTTTAAGACAACATACCAGATATGCTTATTTTTGATAGTTGGATATGAAACCCCGTGTTTCAAAAATACAGCACTGCAAACATCTTTAAAATATTTATTTGGTGAAATTTGTCAAGATGATTAAATACGTTTGTATTGATCCGCTTTTGCACTTCCCTGTCTGATCAAAAAGCCTGGCTCAAACATTAGATCTACAATATATTCTTGAGGAGGAAGCAGAAGCCCAGCTATTCCCTTGGGAAAGTCGTCAACCAATTTAACTTCATTCCAAGCTCTGTTATACTTGCCACGAACTAAACTACAGCCAATGCCAATTCTGTCCGCTATCACCTAAAAATGAAAGAAGTAGTAGTTAATCACAGTTCATCCATGTAGCTTCTGTGATTTACAGCAAGGCCCAGAGATGCTTAAAAAGCAAACAAATACCTTAAAAGTGAAGTGTTTCCTTGAAACAGACTTTATAAACCTCTCAAGCGTCCAAACCTTTATTGTTCATTCTGCTTAGAAAGTGTAGGCTTTTAAATATTATTTTGAGCGTATTCAATGCACACTATGAAAAATATTAATTTTAACTCTTTTCAGATAATGATACATTTGTTTATCAGCCAGTCCTTTAGATCTCAAATGAAGTGCAACACCCACAATATCCAGCAATATTTTTTTTCTGGTTGGAAGACTTAATTCTGAATAGTATTTTGAAGTGTATTCAAGCAGTGAGGTGTAGGCCCACTGCACACATGTCGCTCATATGAAATATTAAGTGTAAAAATGTAACATTTTCATCAGTGTAAGTTTAGGACTCTTGCTTCGCTCCAAAGCACACTCCTTGCTTTTCAGCCCTGGAAATGTGGGAAGCAATGAAATGCAAGGCAAGTGCCTGCTAGATGAAACACCTGCCTTTCCTCTGTGCTGCACTATCACAGACAGACCTGTAATGGTTTCCAGCTACAAAACTGCTTTCTCACCATGCATCTGCTGTGAAGGAATGAAGTCCTGGAAGATTTTTAACTTGTTACAAATGGACAAGGATATCCATTGCTTAGAGTGCTGTGGCTTTAAGAGCTGATCTGTTCCCTACAAAGGTTTCTTAGGACAGTGGAGGATAATTAATTCACAACCTCAGACTATTCATAAAATAAGTTGGGAACTTCCTCTCCCAATGGATACCATAAATTTAGGTTTGTGCTCTTTCTCCTGTGTGCTCTTTCCTAGGTCCTTCCAGCTCAATGTGCTAGGCCCTTGCTTCTCTTTTCCTTTCCCAAGAAAGACAAAAATCCAGCTAAGGAAAAAGTATGGGACAGATAACCAGACTGCACCAGTATATCTTCACATGAAGAAAGAAGAAATGAAACTTCCCAGAAGTTAATGCTTGTGAACTTCTAAGAAACTAGAACATTAAAGCTGTTATATACTATCGTAGAACACTGGATAGATACCAAACAAAAATTGTCCCAACAAGTTTACATTTGCAGCATGGAAAAAGAAGGAAGCTGCATAATTCATATTCTACAGTTTACAGAAAACGTAAAATGTTTTGACTCCAAATCAAATATTTTGGCTTTTTGCCATTTATCAAGTGTTCTGCTCATATCACTTAAGACAATTTAATGACAACAAGAATGCTTACAGAAAGAGGCAATGTTGGCTTTCATTCACTGGGAAATCAACTTTGCTGGTGAAAAAGTACTAAAGCGTATACAAAAGATTTACAGGAATAAAAATATGGTATTATACTGATGCAAGTATAGTTTTGAATATCCATTTAAAATCAATATGTTATGTTGCAAAATAAATGTTAATGTACCTTGAAAAGTAAAGCCCTGTGATAGAACGTCCCTTTTTTGATTTTCCCGATAGGCACAATGTTGCATTTCAGTTCAAATTCTATTTCACTTATGTGAAGTTCCCAGCTGAAGTCATGTAGTTTGTCTCTTTCAATAGAGCCACCCATCCTGTCTGCAACAAACCTGTTCCAAATGCATACCGGGATCAATTACATCGACAGTTCCTCTTGTATTTATCACAAAAATGTAGCAAAATGAAATGTATACAGCCAGTAAGTGAATGAAATATGAGACTAATACTTCCTCTATGTTTGTTTAATTTTTTTAATTCAGTAATTGGTATTTTAAATATGCTTACTATAAATATAGATAACCATAACTCAGGTCATTCAAATTTGTCACAGACCTAAACCAAGGTGCAAAAACTGCCAGAAGAGATTCTGGAGAGGTCTAGTATAGGCATGAAGTCCTCAGAGAAAATCATCAATTACTGAGGAAATAATTACAGAAGCTAGTGTTCATCTTCACAGATAACAGATTAGGTGAGCTACATATTACATTTGTTTGAAATATTAATAAAACCCTGAGAATATATATGACAAAAATAAAGCCATAGGTAATGATCCCAACACAGAAAAGCAACTGTATTCATTGAAGGTACTTCTACATGTGCTTTCTTACACTGAAGCCTGTATTTTGGCGGTGAGAGGTGAGTGTGCATCCATTAAAACAAGTGGCTCAGTCACAGAAGCAGATCAGAACTCCCAATTTGTGCCAACTCTGCCAAAAGGATGTCTTTTGAGTGAGCGCACACACACAAGACCAAGCTCTGATTTGTAAGTCCCCACCTCCTCATACACACACCTTCACCGCCCTATGCATGGTCCCTGTATGGAAAGACCTTTGTTCCTTGCAGTGTCTCCAGCCACAGGCACAAGGGTTATTGAGGGGCTCTTACCCTGGACAAGATGTCACAGAGCTGACATGGAAATCACAAGCCATTGCTTCAGACAGGGAGCTAAAATCTGCATCCCCTCCTCTACAGAAACTGTGAACAGGTTCTGTCTGCACAGCACAAGCAAGGCAACCTCCGAGGCCTCATTTCTCAAACCGAGGGCTGAGGAAGCACCGGTTCCAACAGCACGGGCATGGGGAGCTATCACCAAGCAGGCTGGATGTGGTATCTTGAAGCTGGGAATTACTGGGTGAAGCTGGAATAGTGTGGGCTCCAGGCAGTCCCTCGCGCTGTGTGAGCCCACGGCCAGCCCTCACTGAACACGGCAAAGCTGTCTGAGCTGACGTGCTCAGCACCGCCGTGTGTGCACAAAGGTGCGCTGTGTTTGTTCCAAAGGACACAGCCAGCACTGCTGGTGTTCCCTCATCCAGCCCGACCCCCTCTCTGGTGAGCAGAGCAGGAACTCTGCCCAGGCTGCCAGGCTGCCGAGGGATGCAGCAGCTGCCTTTTCCTCCCCTCCCTGTTGAACACACGCTATTCAGGCAGCCACTTAAAATGGAACACGCACAGAAAAATCCCCAGAAAAAAACGTTCTGCTTAAATTTCCCGTGATTGTTTCACTGGGCTGTGTGTCTGCAAGTATTTCACTGGTTAGAAGACTGAACTTTAAAGAGCATTTTATGGATTCCACCTTGAGGAAGGCAGCATGATTTATACACAGCTGGATAGTTAAGGATGAATATCTGTCCTTTCAAACTCTGCAATCAACAGAAAAGTCATCCCTCATATCACATTAGACCACTTCATTAAAAATGAGAGTTAGTGAAAGTAACAAATTTTGTGAGACTCAGTGGGATCTGACACCAAACTCTCCAAATTCAGGAGGCAGCCAGGAAACTGCTAAGATAATAAAGGTTAAACTAAGGAGAAGATGAAAGCAGACACACTGCTTGGAGGTGACAGTGATTGGTGCCCAGGCTGAATAGTCAGTGTAACTAATGAATCACACATTGATAACAACAGTCTGTACATGCACCAATGCAATATTGTGGCACTATTAAACCATCAGGATATTAATTAGAAGAGGATCTAAAAGCTGCATTAGAAAACTCGTCTCATGCTTTTGGCTCCATAGAAAAACAAAATACAAGAGAGTTCCTGTCCCGAGGGGCTTCCAAACCAAGTAGATAAGAAACATGGTAAGAGAAAGAACAGATGATACATATGTAAGCTGCAGCCGTCTTGACTGTTAGGTTGGGGTTCTAGCTTGTGTTTTTAGGCTTTGCAGCACCTGAGTCTCTGGAGCTCCTTGATGATATAGATGCTATAGGGAGCTGATGTGTTCATTGGAAAGAATCAGTACAGTTTCATATAATTTAAAAAAAAAAAAACCTAAAATTGCCCGTATGAATATTTTCAAAATGAAAAATTTACATTGTTTTGTTGCAAGTGGTACTTTATTTCAAAAATATTAAGCTAAAGCACCAGAATTAGAACAAGAAACTTAAAATCTAAAATCATGTCAACATGCTGGAACACAGCTGATTTGGATTCCAGTTAAGAATGGGAAAAAACCCGAATTTGGAAAAGTTGCTCTTGGATAAGAAAACAGTTATTTTACTAATTCAACTTTTGGAATATAATTTGGTACTCACTGTGCAAGGGCCACAACCTGTTCCCGGGTAGTAGTTAGTGGTAGAATTGTTTTGGAAGCATCATTAATGTAATCCATTAAAATGATGTCAGATGGCGGTAGCCAAAGTGAATTTTCTAGATTTATTTCTTCCTGGTCTTGAGATGTAATATCAGTAACTTCTTTTGCTTTTTCCTCTTCTGTTTTCCCCTTTCCTTTTCTTACATAGGAAAAAAAATACATTTATTTAGAATACTGTAATCTCTAAAGTTCAAATACAAATACAGTAGTTCTCCACCAGGACATTTACACAAATTGATTAGGGAGGGATGGAAAGTAGGAGAAATCTTTTCTCTTAACAACGAATATCCAAAATGTATAAAGCTGTAGAGAACACTTGTGGAACATTCCCGCAGGAGATGGTTAGGAACCAAGTGTCACTATCTCTACATTAACAGTGTTGTAAATTGTCATTTTATTTTTGTCAGTGGCTCTGGTATGTCTTTCCCATATATGGGTTATCTAGGGGAGGAGACTCTTACCAACTACATACAGAGAGGAAAGATCTTTAGACAGTTATGGTTTGGTTCCAGTGGATATGAACTAAAAATCATGACCTCCAGTGACTTTTTACTTGATAAAAATCTGGACTTCAAATAAAGGAACAAATGGTATCAAGAGCATGGCTGAAATCTTGAGAGGACATACCAAGAGATAATCTCTGTACTTGCAAGTCCAGGTTCTTCAAGTGTTATGTAAGCTGCAACATGGCTTGTCAGAGGAAGATTTTACAAGAAGTGTGTGGGTTTGTTGACTTTTTTTCATTGCTCGTGCTTCATATTTCACTAATGCTTGGGATCTGAAAATGACTGTGATCCTGAACAGGCATCATAAACACCCAGCAGAAGTATAAATGAAACGATTGTTCTACTTAGATTGAATATTGTGCATTTCACAAGTTATGCAGCAACTATAAAATCAGTATCTTACCAGAGGTATCATTAAGGTCTATACAATCAGACACTTTAGGATTTTTCATTTGTGGGAACACATGAAACTAGTGTTTTTTAAGCATTATGCCTTTTTCAGCATAAATCCTGAATAATTCTACTGTGAAATATGACAAAATTTCTTTCCTTCATTTAACAGCTCTGTCTTATTTTTAAAAATCTATAGTATTTCTGGTGTTCTTGGAAGGAAAGAGAAAAAAAAGAAATACAGAACCACTAGAGTAGATGGCTCCAGGACACACTATCATTATTGTATGCTCTTCAAATTATTATTAAAATTTTTACAATGAAACAGGACTCTTAAGATGGAAGGCACTGGGCAAAGCAAAAGGGTGTACATCATTATAAGTAGTTGAATTCAAGCACTTTGTCTGCAGAATACTTTGCAAACTTTTCTTTAACCCATTGAGATTTACCATATTCTCAAAAAGCCCTTTTCATAGGTGTCATAAAGCACATTATTTTAAAGGGATAACCAATTAAGATTTAATCTTAAAATTACAGAAAATTTATCACCCTCTTAAATGAACTGATCTGATTATTAACTACACATATACTTGAAAAAAACCAGTTTTCTTTATCTAATTTGACTCTATCTAACTATAGCCAGGGAACCTTATAATGCTATATTAAACAGCCTCTTACTTATCCATTTATACACTTATACACTATGGTTAAAAATGCCCTGTTTAAAAAAAATTAATTATTCCAAATTCTCTGGTGTCTGACGTAGCAGGTTTTCAAAGGAACAACTTCTACAAATGCTATAATTCTTGTTTCTTGACCATTTTCTCTCTTTTCCCCCTTTATCATTTCTCTCCTCCCAGTACTTTCTTTCCCTGTAAAAAGTGCACCATTAAATTACAGTGCTATAGCAGGAGAATTTGTTCCTTATTCCTATCTACTCAAATGACTCTCAGATCACTCATTCTCCTCCTTCCCAGTTTTTAGGAAGAAAACACCTGAGAGGGATGGGTTTGAACAGTGATTTGCTTGGGGTTTTTATTGCTGCTTATTTCTCTCAGGTATAACTATGTTCTGTTCCTTGGTGGAATAGCTGCTTTAAGGTTGTCTTCCACACCTGTCTCTACCTTACTCCTCAACTGTTCAGTTCATCATATCTGTCTAATACTTCTCTCATAAGGAACTGTGGAGCTCTTGTTATTTTGTACAGCAATAAAATAACCAGTAAGCATTACAGTAGACTTCTACTCTCTTTTTTCCTGCCCACTTTTTTTTTTAATCCCCATTTTTTTACCAGTGGGAATTGTGACATCAAAAAAAAAATCACTCTCATTTCCCAAAGCTGTTTTCCTACTTGTGAGACTACTTGCTGTGAATGCAGAGGAATATTGCAAAGGAGAGATCATGGCACTTAATAGTTTCCAAGCTGTTTCTGAGTACTGTTGCAACTTCAGTACAGAAGTCCAAGGGGTCACCAGAGCATCAGGGTGAGGAAGAAGGCAGCCAATACAATATCCTACCATCAAAAGACAGCCATGACACCTATTTTCTTTCCCATTTTACATAGCTTAATACCCTGATACTCTTTAGAAAAGGATTAAACGAACATTGGGCAGTATTTACTTAAATGCTGTACTGGAACGTAGCATGGAATAAATACACATTTATTAGTCTACGTTAAATAGATGTTTTAGCCCAGTCAGTGTGTATATGATATGCAACTGTTTGATTAAAAGTGCTGCTGTCAATGCAAATACATGTCAAACTATCAACTAGCCACTTCCTCTACATCTAATTCAAACACTGCCAGCAGACAATTACAACTACCCTTTCTCTGAGCTTTCAACTATGGTTTATATAAAGTAGTATCACTTTTTCAAAGCAATGGCTTTAAACAGTGTTCAGTATTACTTTGCAAAATAATGATGAACAGAAACATACGATCAAAGGAAACAATATGTAGAAAAAAGTCTAAGTGTGTTTGAGACTTGGAGTCAGCTACTGACCTTCAAGTAACTCCCATATATCTCACAAATTAATAATGATGTATGAATTATGGATTCAAAATGAATGACAATGGGGTTATAAATCATACAACTTGATCATGACATTCAAAAGCAATTATTTCATACTTGAAGAAAGAAGTCTTTATATCCCTGCAAGGTTTACTATGGGAAATTGAGCCAGGTATTTATTTCTTCCTAAAGAAAATTTTTTGCTCTTTGAAAGAGTTATGGTTGCTAACAGAGCAGTCATTTACTCTGTAATTGACATAAATTACATTTAAAAAGCAACTATCCAAATGTATCTTCATCTCACACTGTAATAAACAAACATCTTGTCAGAACAGGTCTCTCAGCTCCTGAGACTATGCAAAATGGCCTGTGACTCGAGCATGTTCTGAGATGAAGGAACCTGCCACTGGTGCAGAGCAAACACAACTGGGGTTCCACATCTCCCCGTGCCTCTGCTCCCTTCGAGTAAACTGGCATATGTGTGGTGGGTCATGACCAGAGCATGAGGGGAACCAGGAGGACCTGCTCAGTGAGCAGAAGGTAGGACAGGCCTCATAAGACACCCAAGTTGCAATATCTACTCTCGTGCATCCTGAAACAGGAACCTTCCACAATGCAATTCATGGGATCTGTTTCAGGCATCTTCTGTGAAATGACTGAAACTGAATTTCAGAAGTGCTTGCAGTCCAAATAACTAGTCAAATGGGAATGTCTGCCTTCTAAGTCAATAACTTTTCGATAGACTAATCTCACAATTTGGATTCTGATTTAAGTCAGAACCTCAACCCTTCACAGTCAGTAGCTATTATCTGTCAACAATTTGCATGTCAGTTCTAGAAAAATTGACATAATTCAAATATATTCAAATATAATTCAAAGTATAATACCCTTAAACCTTTTTCTCTGCTGCTGCTTTTGCTAAGTGAACACCATTGTCCAGAAAACTCCTGCTTTTCCTCCACTGGAGATACCATTGAACTGTTAAGACCACAAAGCAGGTTTCAGATTTCTCTCGACTTTCTTACTGCAGATTTCATCTCTCAAGCACAGGTTCATACATACACAGAAATATATAAACAGCATAAGAAATCAGCCGTTATCTCAGTCAATAAAATGCCTGTACAGACAGTAGTGTATTATAGTTAATGGATAAGCTCCAAGCTAAATATTGGAAACACAGTACTTCAGCTCCTACAGCAGATGCACCATTTCTCCTTTTGTTCAACTCTGCAGCACTTAGTAGTTTATAATGTCCACCACTGACTAGAACTCACAGCCCAAGCCATTACCAAGGCTCCCTATACCATAAAGAAAGGAAAAATAGGAAGTCAGGAATGGGACTCACAGAAACCAGCATAATAAATGGTTGGCTCACAAAGTTAGCTAACAGAAAAACCAAGGAGAGTTGTAGGTTATCTCACATTCCTGTCAAGGACTAGAGACCATCCCATTAATGGCAAGGAGGCTCTAACTGGACTGGGTTTGGAATTCTGGACATTCCCCTGGAACTGGGCATGTACACTTGGCTTCTCCAAAAGGCACTGTTGTGGTCATGACTGCTGCTGTTTTACAGGCAGGACAGTTGGGAGACCATGGCTCAGTTTTCTTCCACAGGAACAAACTACAGGTTAAGTATTTTATACTAGACAAGGACTAGAAATTTAGTCTTGGCTCTCTGAGGTAAGTACCCCAACAGCTGAAGCAGAAAGCCCTGTTCATTACACCCCATTGTCAGTGATCAGCTACAACAAACCACAAAGAGACTGCTAAACCCCAAATATCTTGTGGTCAGCTGTCTGCTGAGGGACAGGCTCAAATCCTCTTTCTGTAAAAGAAGGAAATTAATTTTTCACTACAAGGGTAGAGGTTCCAGCCTATTTGGTATGAACAGACAAACTGCAGCACTGTACCTTGTGTATCATATGGATCAGGACAAGCCCTGCAAGAGCAAAGCATTTCTAGGCTAGTTGTCATCAAAATCAGGACAGTTCTGAGCACACCCTTCTAGTTCTGAGCACACACAGCTTCTAGTCATCTATGGAATTTCACTGGAAGAAATTTAATCTACAAATAAGGATGCATGTAGACAGTGTAGGAACATTTAATGGGTCTAAGTCCTAAACTGAGAAAGAACTTCTACCCTAATTTCCCTGTGTCTTGGTTGTCAAGTTGCAAAATAATAGCATTTCCCTGCCTCCCAGGGATAATGAGAGGAAAAAAGTAAATAAATATGAGCTGTTCAAATACAGCATAGGGAGGGAGGACAAATAACCACTAAGATAGACAAAAGAATGTTACTGCAAATAGGAGGTGAAAGCAAGACTCCAAAAACATACTTAACATTGTATTTAAGTGTTCAGAAACTGTCACTATTTTCAGTCAGAATTCTATTTTTAATGTTAGAGCAATAACAGAACATTGACAACCAGTAAATCTGAAAACCCTACCTTGCTTTTTCTTTACTACCTATTTTTGAAATAGGAGGTGGTGAATCTTGTGCCTTCTCTACTGCGAGACTGAAACAGAACAAGATTATTTTTGCATGTTATTTGCATGTGAAGCTATGAAAATGGAGTTCTGATTTTAAAGGACAGTAAATATATTGTGGAATGTAAGTGGAAGAAATAACCACTAATAAACCAGATATTGATTCAGGGATCAAAAATGAAGTACGGAATACCAAATTATGGACACAAAAGTAACTGGGGAGTAAGACTGCTGCCAAAGTGCAAGAGCAAGAAGCTGTATCAAAGCCAAAGAAAGAAAACCTGATAGTTAAAGACAACTCTAGGGATCAACAAAGAGCATGGAAGTATAATTTGTCATAGATATTCCCAGACATCTTTATGGTGTCATATACAAGCTTAAAAGGGAAGCTAATGATACTGTAAACCAAATACGTGATGTGTTGACAGAGAAGAAGGTTTTGGACTTGCAAAATATTGGTAGAGCAATCTTTGATCTGTGATACTGTTTACAGGAAATGGGTCCCAGTTAAACAAGCCCAATACCAACTTCCTGCATTCAAATCTAAGAAGATTTGTTAGGCTGGCTTCAACTTAAACGGAGAAGAAACAGACACAGGTTCTTTATCAAGCCTGAGGTCTTCATACTTGGCTTTGTCCTGCCTCTTGGGATGATGTGCTTAAACTTCCATGCATTTGTCTATCTCTCTAGACAGAGAAAAAAGTTATTTTCCAAATTCTTATTTTATGAAATACGAATCTTTTGCCTTCTAGGACATAAAGCACTGTACTGGCTTTAAAATAGATGTGCCTGTATATGCGTGTGTATATATGCATGCATGTATATATCTATCTGTATATAAAATGAAGTTTGTACTGGAAAGAGGGAAAATTATTAAAAAGATGAGCTATTGCAATAAATGGTAGTAGATCTAACATGACTCACTCTTCTTGGGGTTTAGCATTAATGAAGATTATTGCCCGACGGTCAGTAAGCTCTTGCATGCTTAGTTCTTCCAAAGATAAAAATTTTGCTCCGGGTTTTATCTACAAGAAAATTAGCATAAAATATAAGGTGTTTTGTTCAGTTAAAGATGCAGACAAAAAATGTATTTAAAAGAGTAATTTAAAATTCCTAATCTTAAACCAAAGACTCTGCAAGAACTTACAAAGCTATTAAAAATATTTTTTCTTCTTAATTTGCATTTTCTTCATCAATTTTTCTTAGAAAATGTTGTTTATAAATAATTTAACCTGTAGTTATTGTCATTAAGGCATTCCAAACAGTTCCGGAATAAGTAAATGTTCCTGCCTCTGAAGGCTTTACAATACAGGATGGAATTTTCAAAGCAACCAAGTGCTTTAGGAGCAGGTATTTCACTGATTGTCAGTAAGACTGGTATTTCTAATTCATTTGGGTATTTTAAGAAGTCTTTCTCTGATTTAACCTGAACAAGTGATACTGGAGTCAGTCTTTATATTACAAATACTTCTTTGTGAGAGAAAGGGTCATGACTCAGGTGAAAATAAGAACTCTTTACTTCTTTATGTAAAAATAAACAAACAAAAAGTCCGTAGGTCATTCAGTGTCAAGTTAGTATTAAGTACACTGCAGGGAAAGAGACCAGAAGACCTAAAGTTTACGAAAGGATCTGGAAAGGAACTAGGTCTGCACAGCTCATATAGGATTGGGAAGAAAATCACAACTGAGGGGTAGCATGAAGATGGTGAGATTTCATCCATGAAGAAAGATAATCAAAAGAGATCTGTGTAACAGCTGTGAAACTTCAGGACATGAAAACAGAGTATTTTCTGTAGCCAGATTCTGTTTTTTTGCTACAGTACTCTTTCTAAATTAACAGGAAAATTTTACTCTTTCTAAATAAGAGTAGCTATTTAGAATATCTTACCTGACCACAGTCATAGAATCCATCAGTAATGATATTACTTGATGATAAATATCCCAGCCGGCTGTACTTTTGGGAAAGATTGTTATCAAGTAGCTTTTCCAGAGCAGCTTCACTAAACTTATTTTTACGCTTTATTGACAGATTAATTTCTTCTAGAATGTCTAAAGCGCTGATAAATAAAATACAAAAGCAAATAAGCACCGGTAAATAAAACACAGTGGCTAATTCATTGTTAAATACTAATTAACTGTTATTATACAGTTTAGAGTTAGTTTTCAGCATTACCAAGGCCAAGACAAATTCACTTCCAAGTGCCAGCCCTGTGCCCTCCGGGCCAGCAAGGCTGTGCTGCACAGAATTTCTTCTCAAGGGGAGAAAAATGCCTTGCAATGCTCAAAAGCAAAAGCAATTTCTTTAGGTAGTTAAATGCTAAATAAAGAAATGCGGACACGATGCCACAGCCTTTTATCAGAAGGATGTTCAGCACCACAGAGGACTTGAGGGAGAAAAAAGATGTAAAAGGAACAATGTTCAGAGCTGACCATATGACACAGTTCAGGCAAGCTCTCTCTCTTTCTCTCTCTCTCTTTCCAGCTGCAATGCAATTTTCAGATTCCAGTTGTGCATTATGTGATGTGTGAATCCTTCTGGCCTAGGACTGTTACTGTGCTTGGGGAAGGCACAGTTGGCAGATATTTGCTAAACACGAATGTGCAGTTGTCTCAGCACCACCAGAATGGCAGGATTTTTGCAGCACGGAGACAGAAACAAATAGCAATGTGAGGACATGGGAGGACAGGAATTAATTTCTTAAGCTGTTTCTGGTGCTGAAGCTGATAACTTCTGACCTGAAAAACTTAGGAAAAGCTCACTAAGAAGATAAAGGAGAATATAGCATACTGCAGTTTTAGAACTGTTTACAAATGAAAAAAAAACAAACAGGAAAAATGATGATATATTTGTGTGTAAATATTCAAATTTATGTGTGTGGTTTTATGCACACATGCAGACATTCTTCACATCTCAAGGAATACATTTTATATATACACACACACATATTATATATATATATAATGATCTCCATGTTTAGGCTGCCCATTTCTCTCTGTGAACTACACAGGGAGCCTCAGCTGCAGACATTTACAAGGTAGACTTCGAAGGTACGTCAGATGAATTCCAGAGAACAAGTTTTTCAGGCAAGGCAAATGACAGCCTTCTCTTATAGAAGCGAGCAATGGGAGAAGATAGTGGAAGAGCAGTTCAGGCTATTTGTCTACAGCATATTGCAGATAAGCAGCAAATAATACAGGGAAGAATTTTAAAGGGGAAAATGAATAAAGAAAGGCTAATGTGTTCAACAGTGTCTAAACCAGATGACATTACAGGCACAATGGCACATTACCCTCATTTAGAGGAGAGACAAACTAAAACTGGACAAATACAGTTGCACCAAAAATTCTGTGAAGAGCCAAACCCCCCCCCCCAAAAAAAAATTCCAACAGAAATGGAAACACTACCAACAGAATAGAAAAAGTAAGGGACAAACCCAAAAGATGCACAGGCAAAGTGAGACACAACTGTTCAGGGACTGAGACAAATGTTTCATATGCTATGAGTCAGAGAGGAAAACGTAGGCCTATTACTCAATGTGGGAAGAAAACTCATAACAGATGGCACAGAAAATACTGAAGTGTCTGATGATGCCTTTTTTGCTTCAGTTTTCATAAAAAGGTTTCAGGCTGATGCCTGGCAGTCATATTAACAAGGAGGTAGAAACAGTAGTCTTAACATGTCTAGAGTAAGTTTGAGGAGAAAGTTAGCAGTCCCTGAGGACACTTACCTCATACCACTCTACGAATTTGCAAAAGCCACATTGTAACTATTTATAATTGTATTTGAAAATTCTAGATGCCTGGAGAGTGAAGAAGGGCAAAGATACTACCTGGATTTGAAAAACTAAGAACAAGGAAATTATAATAGATATCATGCTACCAAATTTCAGTGTCCAAAGAAAACCATATCAAATTATTAAACAATCAGTTTGCAAACAACAACAGATGAGAAATAGCCATTATGTATTTGTCAAGAGTAAGTCATGTAAAGTGAATGTAATCCTTGCTGTGATAGGGTGACTTGATGTATAGCTAGAAAAAGTAGATGTGAGATATGAGTTGACTTTGAGATATGTTTTGACTTTAATAAGTCTTTTCACATATTCCTACTTGAATACTCGTGAGCAAATCAAGGAAATATGATCTATATAAAAAAAACATGAAGTAGTGCCTGACTAGTTGAAAAACTATGCTTAATATATTATTATCAATAATATCCTGTCAAACTGGAAGGACACATTACAATTAGAGTCCTACTTTGATACTGTAACAAAGAAGGGATTAAACAAGAACAGTGCCATATGCAAGATAAAGAAAATAATTACTGAGCTTTATTTGATGGTCGTATGACCTAATCTGACGTACCTCATCCAGGGTGGGAGATGACACTTCAAAATGGTATAAATAAAGAAGAAAAATTCAAAGATGTGTGACAAAATGATACAAGATTTCAAAATAAAATTAGTTTAGCATTTTTATTTTGTCATGAAAAAGAAACTGAGAGAAGAACATGGAAAATGAGAAAATTCAGTAAGTTAAATTGCTATAAAAAATGGTTATTCGATCCCATTGCAAGTAAGACAACATGTAGTTGGATTGATTTGCTATAAGGGACATTTAAAACTCAGAAACCCCTTCTAATTGTAAGGATACTCCAGCACTGGAACAGGTTACCTCAGAAAATTGTGAAACCCCATCAGAATCAGTATTTACACCAAACAAGCCAAAACACGTCAGTGTACCTTACTCAGTCTTACAGCAGATAGAGGGATAACATCACCTTTGAGGTCCCATCGTGATCTAAACTTTTGAGAGTCTCCCTTCGCAGAATTCCCTCCTAGAGGGATTTTAAGTATCCGTGCAGTTATCAGAGAAGTGCCCAGCAGAGGGAGCAGGGCAATTACATATATTTTAATTTAACAGTAACTAAAAGTCACCCTGTCTGAGGAATCCTGTGTCATAATTCTTATAACCTAAACTAGCTTTTGTAATTCAGATATTAATATATGGAACTGGGAGCTTCTAAGAAGGAATAAAATCAAGTCACTTTTACATGACACTTCAGCACACCTGCAGTAACCAGAGATTGTAAATCAAATCTAGCCTGTGCATAATAAGTACAATTTACTGTATATTAAACTTAGTCTGAAACCTTTATTTCAGTTTGAAATGTATGGGGCACTGTAGTTCCTAATTTTGACTGATATAAGCAATCTTCAATCTAAAGCCTAATTCAGTCACAGAAACAATAAATGCTTTATAATTCCAGACAGTTCTCTCTACAGGCTTATATTTTGTCTGAAAACCTCTGTTCCTAAAAATCAATACCATTTCATCTGTAACATCTGTGGTGCAAAAGTAGTTTCTGCTTACCAAAAAGCTTTGTTATTCTGCTATAAATACGTAAAGATTGACTTAAATTGAGTTTTCACATCAAAAATTTCCTATTTCCACTCACCCTAGCCTGCACAGTTCAACAGCGGTTGGTTCATCACTTGCACAGACCGTAACAGCCCAACAGGCATTTCTTCGGACTTCTTCATTCTTAGAATGCAGCAGTTCAACGAGTGGTCCCAGTCCACCTGCATTTCTTAACTATGAAAAAGTGAAGACATTGCCACTTACCTCTTTCATCTATCCGAGCAAGAACAGCCTGTGAAATTCGCCTTCCAAAACATTCAAGCCTCGTAGACAACCTGTGCTGGGCTGGTAGAAAGGTCATTTGTGGGTAATCTGTGTTCCCATGAGCTCTGCATAGGCTGGAGCTGAAGTGAGCTTCAGAGCAGTACAACACAGACATCCCTTCTGGCTCTGCCTTACTCTTCAGTTATTAGGCTGCGGTGTGGAACCTGAAGAGACTATGCAACCCAAAACTGCCACAGAGAGTTACACAGCTTTTTCTGTGTTCTGCTGCCTCCCAGCAACTAATTTACATCACAATACATTTGAATCTGTATTGCATGTGTGACAATCTTATTAACATCCTATTCTCTTGTGTGCTACAGTATCTTTCCTATACATGCTGGAGGAAATATTGCTCATTTGGATTTTCGAAGAAAAAGACATTTTAAGGACACTGAAAGAGGTAGATTAATTATCTGTGCCCCTTATTCATGTCCTAATTAACAAACTTGACCCATGAGAAAACCCCATCTTATGATTTATGAATGCACGTAGCATCATTCTTATTTATAAAAATACTATGACCAATTCATAAACAGCAAAGAGTTCAACTTGCTGGATGTCACTGATCAAGGGATTAATTATATTTTGAGTTTTGTCTGAATTACATTTAGTCCGTGCACATCCAATATTTCATTAAGCAAGGTCAGATATTGCCATTCAGGCCTTGAAAGTGGGCAACAGAACACTGAGAGAGAGTAAAGAGGACTGAACTTCTCATGTTCAAAGTTCAGCTGAAAGAAACCTTTAATGCTCCTTAACATGGGGATCAAGATACAGCCCTGATTAAAGCTCATGGAAGCCAATGAAAAGCTGCAAAGCATTAATTTGGGGCAAGCAAACAGAGTAGTGAAAATACAAATTAAAGAAAGCCCTTTCCAAAATCTCATGAAAAACTGAGCTAAACTCGGTAGAACAAGCCTATGACAAAGATAAAAAAATCTAGAAAGCTCAAAACTTCTAGAACAGACACAAAAGATTCCAGGTTAATTTAACTCCAACCTCAGAATCTAGAAATGTTATCAATAATCACAACCTCAAAGAGTAGTTTTACCTCAGTTCTTGCAACAGCATCACAACCAAACGCAGCCACAGCGAACGCTGCTTTGCTCTGCACTTGGCTGTTGGTGGAGTGCAGTGGTTCCACAAGGGCACTCATGATACCGTGGCTCTGGATGCTGACACGGGATGACTCTTGCAAGGCCAGATTTGTCAGTGCTGTAACAGCATTGGCAATGGCTCCATCTCTCTGAGCACTCAAGGTATTCACTAATGGCTCAATTCCTTCAGCCTCAGCAACAGCACTAGCAAAATAAAGGAGGGGGGAAATATTTGTTATTTTAGGACCATCTTTCCTTCTTAGTGTGCTGTATTTACCAGTTAAATTAGTATTATGTTTCAAGATGTGTGTGTGTGTGATTTATGTATGACTCATGGTGTGAAGTTCAAGAGACACAACCTAAGCAGACAAACGAAGTCACAAACTTCTGGATTCTTTAAGTTACTACAGGATTCTTTCTGAGGTGTTGAACAAGTCAGTTAAATCCTGCATCTTCTTAAAAATGTGTGATTTTTGTATTTTAGTTCCAGGCAAATGTTTCTGCAGACATTTATCACTTCTTGCCATAAACATTCTATCACTACTTCTAATGAGGATTATAGTGCATGGAATGTCACATTTTTCTTTGTTCTGTCTCTGTAAATTTCTATTATCAGGTACCTAGGTAATATAAACATAGTCGACCAAGTTTCTGTCCTTCTTAGTGCAGTTCAGTGCAATGTAGGAATTACTGAGCTGCCTTTATATGAGTTAGACAGCAGGATAATAGCAGAGTCATCAGAACAGAGCTCAGGGCTGGCTATGACTGTGATTCCACATTAACTAGTCTATCAACAGCAGATCCAGTAAAAATGTTCCCTCTGTTCCCATGCATCCATGGTTGAAGGGTGCTGCCTCTCAGCAGAGCTGAGACGAACGCTTGTGTGGCCAAGTTCTAAGCTAGGCATGCAAAACTAACCATTTCCAAATAAAATTGGTGAGTTTGTTGGGATTTTTTTTTCTAAGGATCATTTCACAGATTTAGGTTAGAAGACATCCAAGGAAAAAAAACATAGCTGAAGAAGCACTACTAAGGAAATAGCAACTTTGGGCACGACACAGCAGAAGGTGCAGGGAGCTGCACTATTAGAGGATATATAATTTTACTTTGGGCTCATCTGTTAAACAAAAGTTGGCAATGGGAATGTGCAGATGGCAATTTGAATTTTCCCTGCAACTGCTTTTTATACCCTCTTTTAGTACCTTTTACCTACATCAAAAACATAAAAAGCTCTTCAACGGAGGAGTGTACACTTCTTATAAATTTTGCTACATTTCTGTGAACACATTAAATAAAAAGAGAAATCTGCATGTAAACATCTTTTATTGTAACAGCCTCTTACCAAAATCTGACTAACCTTTTGATAAGTTTCACAGTTACTAAATAAACACAAGCTTAGAAGTATCACATATAAAAGAAACCATTATACTATCAAAGACTGCCGGGGCATTGATGAAAACTAAAAACCATCAGGAATGCTGATAGTCACACTCCTATGCAAACAGGACAGAAAGCAGAATACATGCCAGCCTGTGCTATGTAATCCCATTACATGGGCAACATAATGTAGATCTTACTGTGAACTCATGTTAGTGCAAATATTTCCAGATTGTCACAGAGGGGGATGCAGGTGCTCCTGAGCATACCTGGAATGAATCAGCAGAGGCTAATGGGGTTTGTCACTCTGATCTCTGCCTCAGGTACAAGGCCATGGCAGCTCACAAATAGTGCTGGTGCATGGATCTAAGGAAGGCTGACAGGCAGTAATTCCCACTTTGGAAAACCAGGGAAAAGGCAGCAATCCAGGGACTGAAGGTGAGCGGGCTTATTAGCTTGGGTGTGCGTTAAGATATAGGGTTAGTTTGGTGTTGGCTAATGAATCCGTCTGGAGCACCAGTAACTTTAATGCAAGCACTTCAGTCTCTGTTCAGAAGTGAGCCCCATGTTTTCAGATGTCCCACACTGCACTCCTCTGACTGTCTTCAAGTAGCTGGATTTCCTTTACCTTCCTTCCTTGACCAGATGAAGAAGATGTAAAAATGTTTTGTTTGGTGGGTTGCTTTTTTGTTGTTGTTGATTCGGTTTGGGTTTTTTACTTAGGTAAGGCCACTGTATTTCTAAGTTCTTTGGTTAATACTGACTGTCTTCTCTTTGACATGAAATTTTATCCAAATTTCCAGCTTCAGGACTTTTGTAGCTCTATCCAGGCTGCTGTATATGAAAAAACCCTGGACATGTTGATTGCACATGTAAGAATCAGCTATCCACCACATGTACCACGGGTTTGCTGGAAAACATCACATTCACAGCACATGTAACAATGTCACAATGTACCAGCTGGCAAAGTGTGGGAGAGACTCACATACATGCACATGGCCATACACAGTAAGGCATGTCCATAAAGTATCAGATTTACAGCATTACACAGTATACATACACACATATCTTATGCAGGAAGGAAAAACCCCAAAAAACAAAACCAAACAGTTTCTCCTTTACGACAGATACAAAGAAATTCCAGGATTTATGGGACAGATTAACTACTCATGAAATGCATCACTGCATCTCACAGGTGTAGTATATCCAATACTTCTGCAGTAAGTACAGGACTTACTATTCCAATACTGCACCCAAGAATACATGTATTCTCCCACAGGAAATCCTAGTAAACATATCGTCCCTCACAGACTGGTTACAGAATGATACACAGCACTGAGTGACGTAGCCAATCACATTATAAGCAGATTTACTGTAATTTCCATAAAGCCAGCAAGTACACAAGCACTTAACAAAAGAGCAAGGTGACAGCTCCTCGTGTGTTCAGAGCTGACCTCAGCGAGGTACAGAGCACACCCAATTTTCTCAAGTGCCACTCAACTTCAAAAAGGTTGAGAACCACTGATTTAGAAGATCATACATATTTATTTCAGATCTGTGTTCTGCACAGACTCATTCTGAATCACAGTTTCAGGAGTACAGTTTAATCAAGTAGAACGACTGATCACAAGGCAAAAAGATTTTGTTAGAAGTGACGACAGCAGGGAACAGGAGCTGAAGGTAACCAGTACCTTTGAGAATATGTTTTTAAGAGGCCATGAACATCTGATGCCATGCTTTGTTCTGATAACAGGGACACATATAGAAGAGATTCTGAGGGAAGAAGGAAGAATGGAGAATCCACAGTTCAACTCAATCCTACTCCACAGCCCTCCGGAGAACACAGAAATAGCACTGTCACCCTGGGCCACGGAGCCTGACCTCAAAAGGGAGCTGAAAGAATGAACATGCTTAAGTTCTTAAGGTGCTGAAATAATACAACATTAAGATCTAAGTATGGAGGTCCTTGTACCTTTCCATCCTGGGCAGAGGCATGCACTGTGTAATTCTTTTATTATAAGGCAACAAAAGTTGGAGGAAGTTTTTACCAGCACTGTCTTTGCTTAACGCAGAGCAGCCGTAGCCTCTCTCCCTGCCTCCAGAACACTCTCCTTCAGACACATCCTACTGAGACAGTGCACTTTATCAGTGTTCCCACTACAGAACTACATCCTCAAGGAAGAAGTGTGCCTTGGTTTAGCTGGAAAAAAGTGTTCACTTTTTGATGTGGAAAAGGAGTAAATTATATAAATCCACAGGATTTCTTCCCCTCCATGTTGTGTAAATATTCAAAATACATTAACTTTCCTAAATATGGAGAAAAAAGGTTAGGTTAAAGGAAAGAAGACAATGACGAGGGAAAAAAAAAAGAGTTTGAATTTGCAACATCAACGTTTTTTGTTCAAAAGTGGAAGCTGTCTATCTGAAATACAAACAACAAGAAAAAACAGACAAGATAGGTGTAGGAGTTGCAGAGCTTAAATTATATTTAAAATAATTCAAATGTTATGAATTATAAGCCCATATTATGATCATTAGAATGCCTAACCTAACAGGCATTTACTTTAACCCTAAGGACCTTAACCAGGCTCTTTAGTGAAACAGTAAAATTCTGATTACAATTGGATTCCAATTACTGTATTCAAGAATAGGTAAAATATTTTTCCCAAGTGTCATTGGAAAGACAAATATTAAAAGGTCAGATAATAAATATTTAATTTATTAATTTTAAATATACATTGTAACACGTTATTAACAGATATTCTCAATTTAAGACTAAAAGAATAAATGCTGAAAAGTGAAAAAAACAAACATTTTCTTTACTGCTTTTACTGCAAAAATAAGTTAAACGTTGTCAATAAAATCATTACCAAAAGTTTCACAAAACAAACTTTTTTTTCAGCAGATACTTTGGGGATTTATACGAATGTGACTGAAATGAATATTTTGTTGCTTTACGTGTCTGGGGTGCAACAGGAAAGTTCCGATGTTGTTAACAGTGTTGTGAAAACAATAATCAGTAAAAATTTGACCAAAACTCTGTGGGTTTATTTTATTTTTAGGACTGTAAGCATTTTAGGGCATGAACCACCTCTTTGTTGGCATCATAGTAAGCATAATAGTTCTGGTCTGTGACCAAGCCTTCTAGCCAGGGCAAGAAAAATAACGGATTATTTACTTAGTGCATAGGGAATGGTCCAGCTAGCTTTTCCTCCTGAAGAGAAGGTCTAGCCTAAGGGAGAAAGCAACTAATGGTGTTCAAAGAGCTGCCAGAAACCCTTGAGACTGCCCCCCAAACCTCCAACCTAAACGACCTCCCAGGGAGGGGAGATAGAGGGGAAGAGCAGTGATGCAGCTTGACACCACTGTTTGCTCTGCATTTTCTGAATTTACACTAGTGAGATTGACACTTCATAAAAATGATAAAGTATGTTTGGTTTTGCTTCTTCTACCATAACTGAACATAAACTGGTTTATATTAAATTATATTTTTATTCGCTTCTATGCTGTTTACTCCCCCCTTCTGACTGAGGATTTAACATAATTTCTGCTCAGAAAAAATTCAGATTTTTCCTCCTCACAAAAGCCATTGAACTCCTTAGGGACTTCATTTTTTTCAAATGTGTTTTCAACTGCATGTTTAATTTCTGTGTAAAATTACTGTGATTGTGTGTGAGGTGCTTAGCTAGCCATTTATGGCTGTGCATATCTCATTTTCATACATAATTGCATGTAAATTATGCATAAGAATTATGCATCTAATTACATATACATTTTTTAAAATCAACGCTATCTGTTGTTAAATCGCATGACTTCTTTTTTCTCAC